CAAAATCATACAATATGGTAACAGGGCTGTCAGACCATAATATGGTGCTGGTATCTAGAAAACTAACTGGCAAACGGTTCACTGTGTATGCAGGTAATAAAGAATCCTTTGGTATCCCAAAAAACAAGCAAGAGGACTTCAGATCTACTATACAAAACTTAGATTGGGAAGATCTAGTACTTCAAAATGATTTAGAAGTAACCAGTCAAAACTTTACGGGAAAACTACAGGCCACAATCAATGAATTTTCAATCATGATAAAACATAAAAATAAGAAACAGACTCTCCCCTGGATGAACGGACATGTCAGAAATGTAATGAAGGAGCGGGACAGTGCCTTAAAAACTGCCATAAAATCAAAGATGTCCCATGATAGACATATATTTGCAGGGCTAAGAAACAAGGCAACAAGGGAACTGAGAAAAGCAAAAGCAGATCACAATTATTGAAAATGCTCAGGGCAACTCAAAAGCTATATGGAGCCAAATAAAAAAATGAACTGGTCAAACCACTACGACAGCCAAGCCAATTGAATTGAGGGTTGAGGGCACAACTCTGCAATGTCCAGCTGATGTGGCAACTACACTCAATTATTATTTTGTTGAGTCAGTGGCTACCATAGCCAGTAGCTTCATAGCTCAGGAAGTTAATGCACTCCCGACTGTCAACACTAGCAAACCAGCAGCTGTTCTAAAGTCAGTGTCTGAGACAGAGGTTGCAGAAGTAATTGCCAATCTGAAATCCTCAAGGGCTAAGGATATCTACGGTATGGACACATTCATGCTGAAAGACATTAACTCCTCAATTGTTAAGCCACTAACGCATATCATTAATATTGCAATCAATCAAGGGAGTTTTCCCAATCAATGGAAGCCTGCTGTTGTGGTCCTGTTATTCAAAGGTGGGGACCCTCTCATGACATCCAACTATAGGCCCATCAGTATCTTACCCATAGTATCCAAGGTATTTGAGAAATTGATTGCCAAACAAATCATCAATCATCTCAACAACAGCTCCTTTCCACTGCATCCAATGCAATTTGGATTCAGGGCTAATCACTCAACAGAAACAGCGACATGTTTCTTTGTGGAGAAAGTTAAGGCATCAATGGACAGGGGTGGGGTTGTGAGGGCCGTGTTCCTTGACTTACGGAAAGCTTTTGACACTGTTAATCACAACATCTTATTGCAAAAAATACTCAACTTAAATTGTTCTATAGAATTCACCAACCTCTTTAATTCGTATCTTTCATCCCGCTCCCAATGTGTTCAAATTGAGAACCATAAGTCTAGTGCACTATGTTTGTCAACTGGAGTACCGCAGGGCTCTATATTGGGCCCAATCCTGTTTAGTATGTACATAAATGATCTGTCTTCTGTGTGTGGAGAATGTGATGTATTAATGTATGCTGATGATACAGTTGTTTTTACTCATGGCAAAACTGCAGAAGAGGCTGCTACCAAGGTCACTGATGTGTTGGAGAATATTACATCCTGGCTTAACAATAATTGTTTGCAACCAAATGTCTCAAAGACAGTGTGTATGTTCTTCTCCAAGGGCCAAAGCATTATAACAAAACAAGATGTTTTATTTTCTGGAAGGAGACTTCAGGTTGTCTCGGAGTACAAGTACTTAGAAGTACATATTGACACAAACCTCAATTTCAAAACCCATATCAAAAAGGTCTGCAATAAAGTAAAATTCAATCTGTCAAATTACAGATACATTAGAAACTTCCTATCATCTGCAGCAGCTAAGCTATACCTTCACTCAATGGTCCTCTCCCACATCTACTACTGTCTGATCAGCTGGTCTAATGCACACTCTACAGCTCTAAAACCACTGGAATCACTGTATAAACAAGCACTCAAAAACGAGACAAAAAGCCATTCCGGTATCATCATTGTCACATTGTTAAAAAGTATAATCTGTTCAGCTGGGGAAATCTCAGTTTACAAAAACATCTGCTTAGTTTATAAGATCACTCGTGGGTTGGCTCCTCCTCTGGCTGGCTTCATAAGCCTAAAGTCTACCTCAACCAGGGTTACTAGAGGTGCGGCTAGGGGAGACTGCACCATCCCATTTAGGAAAAGCGCATTCAGCCAGGCTGTCTTTTCATTCCACGCATCCCATCAATGGAATTCAATACCACAACCAATAAGAGAGTCCTCATCCTACTACACATTCAAGCACAGTGTTAAAAAGTGGCTCATTGAAAACCAACAGTGTCAGCACTGATGTGTGGGTGTAGGTGTGAGTGTGTATTGTAAATGTTTTATTTATTTATTATCATGACTTGCTCTTATCTGTATTCAGTGATGTCATCTATTGTAAATATGAACAATGGTATAACAATGTTGTGGTATTTTTATTATTGCTTTCAGGATGTCTATCACCATCTGGCAAAGGGACTATCGATGAAAACTAGCCTTTTGGCTAATTCTTTTACATGTTTTTAATATGTTGATTGATGTACACTGTCCCTTGTTTTAAATAATTCAATTCAATTTATGTACTATATATTCACAATTATATGGGGACATGTATGCACTATATATATATTCAGATTTATAAAAAAAACATGTACATACCATATATTCCGAACAAGAGTGCAACATATTTTCACAATGATGAGGAGAAATGTATGTTCTGATAAAAAAATCTTTAATTTTTTATATCAATGTGTAACAGTTAATACGAATACATTTTCACGTCGTAATAATACCGAAAAAGAGCAGTCTGTTATTTAACAATCTTGTTTTGTTGTACTTAAAACATGAGCTGACCACTCAAAAAACAACACAAAACAAGGTCCGGAAGAGGGCCAAAAGAACAGTCTTGTTTAATTTAATTGTCCATCTTGTTCTTTCGCTTCACCTGGTGCCGTAACTCACACATTCTCGTGTTAATTGATTTTCTAAGGTCTGATATCTTGATCCCTGGAAAGCGGTTTTTTACAGCATCTGTGGAACAGAATAATTACAAATAATTAGCAATGTTTATATTTCCTGGCAATCTGCCCAACCGATTGTGAGATATTAAATTCAACAATTTGGCCTTTGATTGGTGCTTCAGGAAACATCATGAAGTCAGGAAACCCTGATAAATAAAAACTAAACTGGAAACTAATAATGTACTAATAATGATTCAGTTAACCCCATGTTCTTGGCCAATTCCATAACCGGCATATGACATTGACGGTCACTGCCTCCTAAAACTCTACAAAAATTGGTTTGTAACTATAGCCTGTAATATTTCACTGATTTGGTTTGGAGGTTTTTGTTCTTTAACATTAAGAATAACTATCCAAAAAAAAAAATGAATAAACAAACAAACAAACAAACTGGAAACCCTGCCACCAGCTCTGATCCTGGATCATAGGTCCTGGATGGATATCCTCATGGATTCATCTTCCTATTATACACACATGCATTTCCAAACATTTGGACTACCTATGTTGCAAATGTATTATCTCTTCAATTTACACATGGCATCTATTGCACGTCTGTCCGTCCTGGGAGAGGGATCCCTCCTCTGTTGCTCTCCCTGAGGTTTCTCCCATTTTTCCCTTTAAACTGTGGGTTTTCTTCGGAAGTTTTTCCTTGTACGATGTGAGGGTCTAAGGACAGAGGGTGTCGTATTGTAATACTGATATTCTGCACAAACTGTGAAGTCCACTGAGACAAATGTAACATTTATGATATTGGGCTATATAAATAAACATTGATTGATTGATAACATTGGATATCTTACCAAGCAAAACTTGCAGTTTCTTCCCGTCAAGAGCCTGTCGTCGTTCTGCTGTAGGATCGACCTTGTTCAACCCTCCGGTTAGGTTGGACTTCAGGAGAACATCAACACTGAAGGTGCCATCCCATTGGCTGTACTTTGTGCTTTGGCAGTCTCCCAACAATGAGCTGAGACAGTGGTTTCACCATCATTGCCCAGTGTCACCTTACTTGCAAAAAACAAACCAAAAAAGCAACAGAAAATGCTACTTAGTGTTTATTTTATTTCTCCTCAAAACGTACCAATTGCAAAAATACTTACTTCTGAAGGTTTGCAAGGTGTCACAGTTTCACCTTCACACTCAGAGACTTTGAGATCTTTGGTAGGATTATTTGAGAGACACTTTATCATCTCCCCTAGCAAAGTTGGAATTTCTGGAAAATAATTGGAACAAAAAGATGAATGTGCTACAAAATGATACAGGTGGCTATATATTGAGAAAAAGGAAGATGGGCGTTAATGTTTGTAGCTTTGTATATTATTCAAGCCAGATTAAGCTTGCAGATTTTCACATTGTGAGATACAGGCTTACACCATTTCCCATTCATAACATTATGGGAAGGAAGGCTTAACACAAAGCAGCAAGCTTGCCAAACTAGAAGGACATTTTCTTGGATATGGAATTTCTGGCAGCCCCTAACGTAATGGGCATGTTGCTATTGAACATTTAAGGTTACACCTATAGATTTAAGTAATTTGTGGCTCATTGAAACTAATTTGATGTTGACAAATCCGATGATGGATACTAGCATTGTTACGTTCCCTTTTAGATCCAGGGGCACAAAGGGAAGTAACAGCACGAAAAAATAACCGGCCGAGAGAAAAAGGAGAGGAAACTGATCTCCGAAGCCATAAGCAGGTATTTTTATTAACACAAAGAAAAAGGGCTCACCAGCCAACTTGCAAAACAAATCTAGATACAAAAATATATACTGGAGACATGGACACCACGCTGCACACATCCAGCCAGGGGAGCAGGGGAGAGCGACTGCAACGTTCCTCATGTCCTATATGGAGGCCCTGATTTGAGATTGGGAGCACCTGGGGAGAGGCTGCACCTGAGGACAATCAGGCTGCACCTGGGGAAATCAGAGGGAGAGAGAAACACACCCACACAAACACTACGGCACGTAACACCCCCCCCCCCCATAAAACCAAACAGGTGTTTGGCCACAGTTACCAGGAACACTCAACCTATTGTGAAACCTCACCCACGGGACAGTACATCGGCCACCACATTATCTGCTCCCTTCTTGTATTTGATGATGATGTTGTAGTCGTGTGCCAACAGGGCCCAGCGCATCAACCGCTGGTTGTGGTTGAACATCTGTGACAAAAATACGAGTGGGTTGTGGTCGGTGTACACCACCACTGGCGTTGAACTGGATCCAACATACACTTGAAAATGCTGCAGGGCAAGGAGCATGGCCAGAGTTTCTTTCTCAAAAACTTGGTCGAGAAGTAGCACACAGGATGGCACACACCCCCATCACCTTCCTGCAGCAAAACAGCACCAGCCCCAGAACCACTAGCATCCACCTCGAGTTTGAAGGGAAGGGTGAAGTTAGGCGCACACAACACTGGCGCACTACAGAGGCGAGACTTGGCAGAGCTAAAGGAGCGGCAACACTCCTCAGTCCATATAAATGGAACCTTAGGGCTACACAGTTGGGTTAGCGGTGCCACAACTACCGAAAAGTTCTTACAAAATCATCGGTAGTACCCAGCCATACCAAGGAACCGCCGGAGTTCAAGTCGGGTGGCTGGAGCTGGGTATGAAAGGATGGCTTCCACCTTAGCATCCACAGGCCTCACATGCCCATGACCCACCTGTTTGCCTAGATAGGTGACAGTGGCCTTGCCAAACTCACACTTTGCTAGATTCACTGTTAGCGAGGCTCCTGCAAGTCATTGGAACACACATGTGAGAATAGCCATATGGTCAGTCCATCCATCCATCTTCTCCCGCTTATCCGTGGTCGGGTCGCGGGGGTAGCAGTTCCAGCAGAGAGCCCCAAACTTTCTTTTCCCTGGCGACATCAACCAGCTCTGACTGGGGGATCCCAAGGCGCTCCCAGGCCAGCGAAGAGATATAATCCCTCCACCTGGTCCTAGGTCTACTCCTTGGTCTCTTCCCAGCTGGACGTGCCTGGAACACCTCCCTAGGGAGGCGCCCAGGTGGCATCCTAACTAGGTGCCCGAACCACCTCAACTGGCTCCTTTCGACGCGAAGGAGGAGCGGCTCAACTCCGAGTCCCTCCCTGATGACCGAACTTCTCACCTTATCCCTAAGGGAGACACCAGCCACCCTGCGGAGAAAACCCATCTCGGCCGCTTGTATCCGCGATCTCGTTCTTTCTGTCATGACCCATCCTTCATGACCATAGGTGAGGGTAGGAACGAAAATGGCCCGGTAGACAGAGAGCTTTGCCTTCTGGCTCAGCTCCCTTTTCGTCACAACGGTGCGGTAAAGCGACTGCAGCACCGCTCCCGCTGCTCCGATTCTCCGGCCCATCTCACGCTCCATTGTTCCCTCACTCGAGAACAAGACCCCGAGATACTTGAACTCCTTCACATGGGGTAAGGACTCATTCCCTACTTGGAGTGGACAGTCCATCGGTTTCCTGCTGAGAACCATGGCCTCAGATTTGGAGGTGCAGTTGTCGGAAAAAACGACCACATCATCAAGATACACATTACAGTTGGGCACATCCCCAGTAGCGTGGCGTGGGGAGAAAATTAGGGGAAGCCAATAATACGTCCTTTCTTTTGGGTCGGGGGTGTGGTGGTCAATGTGATAACGTAACCAGATGAGTGATTACAGCACCCGGTATCATTTTACACACATTTGTATCATACAGATGCAGGACTAACACACGCCTGCTATCTAACCCAGTAGTTCCCAAACTTTTTGTGCCCAAGGCACACCAAAGGACAAGTAAAAATCTCAAGGCACACCTATTGTGCAAAATAGCCCTTATAACACCTGTTATCACTCATATCATGTAAAATATCTGTAAATGTGCATAATTATTTACTAATGCCAAATAAAATGTGACCAAGACAACTATATTACTCATGAAATATTTATTAACGAAATATTTCAGAAATTAATTTGAAACTTTATCAAATTAGGCTTCATCAAAGCAGCAACACACTCATTTAAACCAGACAGGTCACAAAATTAACATTTCAGCAATCAGCATTGAAACATGTGCTATTGTAAATATTTTACCGACTTACAAATTAGTGAGATACATGTGCCTGTCGGGGCGCGCAGAATTTTTTTGAATCCTTGGTGGCACTGAGGAGAGGGCCACTCGCAAGTCCTGTTCAACAGAGAGCCGTGAGTCCCGTGACCTCCTGTTGTTCTTCATGTGAATCAGAGTAGAGAACGCCAACTCCAGAGATGGGGTTGTTACTAATTTTTTTAAATATATTACATATTACTTTTTAAAAAGTTATATATTACACTACTTCTTTACTATCTACATAAAGTAACTCGTTACTTTAATCGTTACTTTACTCGTCGAGCACGTACGAACTTGCGCATGCCTGAGTGGCAATAACTTTCTTTACCAGCAGGCGGCGGTAGTGTGTATTTGTCATTCAAAACAGGCAACAACCGGAAGACAGAGAAGAAGAACAGACTGCGTGATATAAACAAACAACAAATAGCTGTGCGGTAGCTTCACCTTAGCATGTGTTCTTTGCAGGTGTTTGTTGAGGTTTGACCACGTGGTGTTTCCAGCAGTGGATAACAGCTTCTGGCCTGGACACAGTTTGCACCTCACCGTCACCTTCCTGTCTATTCTTCGGACGAACTCAAAATAATGGGCATACCTCCACCCCTCGAAAGTTATCGCTGACTCAGCCATGTTTATGCAGCACTGCACGTGGAGCTGTGGACGCGCAAGTCGCGCAGATTACGTACATATAAACCTACAAAGTACTGATATTATAGTAAATAAAACAATTATTATTTTTGTGTAGTTGTATATTGCAATAATAACGTATGGTTGTCACAAAATCCCACGGCACACCCGGACATGACTCACGGCACACCGTTTGGGAACCACTGATCTAACCGACAGGTCCGCACGCACTCTCCAGCCGAAACTCTAATAAGCATTCATTCACAAACTAAATCAGGAGACCTTTAACGTCCGATTCGATCATTTTTTCCTCGCTGTACACAGCTCCAGTTTGGGCATTGGCCTGTCATCAGATTGTATTTGTTGTTGCTGCTGTAGCAGAAGTTTAGTACAATTATTTTTTGATTAAATACTCCAAATCTCCACTTGCTTCAGTTGCTTGCTACTTTCTAACGACGGTGAGAGTGGTGCTATCTATCTTCTATCGATTAGATTTATGATTCAACAATAATAAAAGTAGGGTAGACATGTGGATATTATCCGACTGAACAAAACGTGCATTTATCTAACAGGTTCGTTTTCCACTGACCTTATTTCGAGCTATTTTCCTAAATCCTATGGAGAAATCCCATTGCTTTTTTTCCGAGGGAAACCGAGCGCAGCTTACTTCCGGGTTTTAGGATGCGTCACTGCCACAATAAGTTGATGCGATTTGATTGGCTTGTGAGGCAAGGGAAGCCAGCCGCCTCTGGCTTCCCTTGGCATGGCCCTGACTAATCACAGGTTGGCAGGGGCATGACGTGATGTCATGTCTGATTGGTCAATCCCTCCATTTTTTTTTCACCAAGGGAAGCCAATTTCGGCTGGCCTCCTCTCGCAACAGAGAGTGCAATCTACTGTTCCACCATAACATGTAGAGGGGCGCTGTTTCACTCTTTGTAAAATACTCAATGAGAATGGGGGAGAGACGGGCCGGCAGCAACACACAACAAAGAATTATCTAAACTAAACGAAGTGTTTTAAAATGATAACTACAATCCAAAAAAAAACAGGGGAACCCTGGCTTCCCTTGGCCTCCAGGAGAAAACGCCACTGCACATCCCTAGCACCAAGTGCATTAAACGCTGAACTGTGGCTGGTGCATTCCTCATGCCAAAAGCCATCACAGTGTATTGCATAAAATGGTCAGGCGTTACAAAGGCCGAGATGTCTGAGGCTCTAGAAGTGAGAGGGACCTGCCAATATCCCTTAAGGAGATCCAACTTCGTGATAAACACACTAGGACTAATACTGTCGATGCAATCATCCATGCGGGGCAAAGGAAAATAGTCTGGAACAGTTAGTGCATTCACCTTGCAAAAATCGGTGCAAAAACACGTTGTTCCGTCAGATTTAGGAGCAAGCAAACATGGACTGCGGCTAGGCTTAGCCAAGCCATTTTCAAGTAGATAACACACTTCCTTTTTCATTTTCTCCCTCTTCTCTAGGTGACAACGATACGCATGTTGCTTAACTGGATGAGCATTTCCAACATCAATGTCATGCTTTAACACATTAGTGCTCGATGGCACATCACCAAATAGGGTCGGGTGAGCATGAACCAAACCGACTACGTCGCCTCGCTGGTTTTCTGGAAGATCCGCCAGGTTAGACTCTAAGCTCAGCATAAACTCAGAGTTCAATCACCTACCACACTGCTGACCACCAGAAGGCACTATCAAATCATCCTCAACCATCGACACTGCACAGGCTAGGGAAGTGGCCACTCTGGGAACAGCAGTCACCACAGTACCTTGCTGCTCCCCCTGGGAAGCTTCCCTGGCATGATAGGACTTAAGCATGTTAACATGGCACAACCTTGTTTTTCTCCTACGCTCAGGTGTGTCAATGATGTAGTTTGTGTCAGACACTTGCCTTACAACCACATACGGACCTGAGAAACGTGCATTGAGGGCAGATCCGGGTGTAGGCAGCAACACCAGCACCTGCTCACCAGGCTGAAACTGCCGCTTAACTGCTCTCCTATCGAACCTGTTCTTCATGCGAAGATGCAAGAGCTTCCCTTGCTAGCTTAGTCGCCTTTTGTAAACGCTCACGACACTCGGACACAAACTTCTTCACATCAGTTTTCGGAAAGGACTCGGACATCAATTTATCTTTTAGCATCTTTAGTGGGCCACGCACATTGTGCCCAAACACTAGTTCAGCTGGGCTAAACCCAATAGACTCCTGCTTTGCGTCACGAATAGCAAATAACACGAAAGGAACACCCTCATCCCAGTCCCTGCGTCATGGCAGTATTTACCAAGCATCGACTTCAATGTCTGATGCCAACGCTCAAGTGCCCCTTGTGACTCTGGATGGTAGGCACTAGATACTGAATGGGAAACACCCAATGACTGCAAGGTTTGCCTAAAAATCTTGGAAAGAAAGTGAGTTCCCTGATCAGTCTGCACAACCTTCGGCAACCCAAAGGTGGTAAAAAACTTGGTCAGTGCTTTAATGATGGCGGGTGCAGTGATTTTACGCAAAGGGATGGCCTCAGGGAAACGGGTTGATACACACATCACCGTCAGCAAAAACTGATTACCTGCCTTGGTCTTCGGCAATGGACCGACAGTCAGCAATGATGTGGTCAAAAGGCTCGCCAATAGCCGGAACAGGACACAACGGCGCTGGGGGAACTACTTGATTTGGTTTACCCACCACCTGGCATGTGCAACAAGTTCTACAGAAACACACTATGTCATCTTTCAATCCTGGCCAAAAGAAATGTTGAAGGATCCGATCATAAGTCTTAGTCACCCCTAAATGGCCAGACCACAAGTGCTCATGGGCTAATGCCAGAACCTGCTGCCGACAACTCACAGGAACCACTAACTGATAAACGCTGTTCCAATCAACACCTGAACCAACATCTGCATCACTTGATTGGTCAGCCCACCGGCGCATCAGCACCCCATCATCCACAAAAAACAACTGTTTCTTATTGCATTCGTTAGGGTTCTCAGCAGCGTCAAAACACTTGATCAAGGTAGGATCATCTCTCTGTGCCGTGATGAGCGCCTCACGGGTCAAAGGCATAGCCACCTCTGGAGCAATAGTGACAGGCTCCATTTTACCATCACACACTGTTGGAGGGCCCTCCACTAATCCATCAACAGAGGTCAACCTGTCGTTAGATAGGGCAGAAACAAACCAAGAATCAGACAAATCCACCTCCTGAGCCTGCTTACGGGCCTGAGCTCTGGTCAAAACGCTAACTGCAAATACCTCCGGATGAGTCAGAGCTAGGTTATCATCTATATATCTATCAGGAACGTCAACAACCTCTGGAGTAGGATACACTTTACCTCCGGCTATATCGTTTCCCATTATGAAATCCACACCGTCGATAGGAAACTTGGGGAGTACAGCAACTGTGAAGAAACCCGTAGACAGTTTAGACTGGACATGGACATTGTGTAGAGGTGCGGGCACAAAACCCATTTCGATACCTCTTACCACGGCACTGGTATCACAGGCGGACTCAGTACTCAAAGGCAGAGCCCTGGCAAGAATGAATGACTGTGAGCCACCACTATCTCGTAGCACAGTAACCTGCCGCTGGTCCTCCACCTTCCCTGATAGAGAGACAAAAGCAGTCGAGATGAACGGCTTAAAACACTCATCAGGGCCCGTTTTAACAGTGGTCTGACCACCAGGACACTGTTTTAATCAAGCCCACCCCTTTTGGGTGCTTGCTACCTGCCACCCGTTCTCGCTTCCAAGCTGCTATCACATGACCTGGGTCAAGACAAAAAAAACAAGCTCTGTTTAGCCTGGGTTCCAACACTGGAACACTGGCACAGGGAACGTAATTTTCAGGAGCTCTACGATAAGTGTCCCGCTGAGGAGGATCACGCTGAAAAAAAACGCTCTTATGTATCAGTGCAAACTCGTCTGCCAGAGTGGCAGCCTGCTGAAGGGTAGTTACTTTCTGTTCGTTAAGATAAACTACCGTACAGTTTTTAAACTCCTCCAACATCATCAGCTCACACACTGAAGTAATGTCCTCAGCTTTACAAGCTCTACACCACCTGTCAAAGAGGACTTTCTTCTCCCTCGCAAAGTCCACGTAAGTTTGGCCAGAAGTTTTCTTCAGGCCGCGAAAACGCTGCCTGTAGGCCTCAGGCACAAGCTCATATGCCCTGAGAATAGCACCTTTAACCTTCTCATACACCAAACTATCCTCGACAGAAAGAGAACAGCAAGCCTCTTGAGCCTTACCGACTAGCTTGCACTGTAAAAGAGTAGCCCACACATTTTCTGGCCAGTGCAGAGCAGCAGCAATGCGCTCAAATGCACCGAAATAGATTTCCACCTCTGATTCACGAAACACAGGGACCAAAGAAATATGCCTACTCACGTCAAAGGTGGCAGCAGAATCGGAAGGTGTAACGGCAGAATCACCCACCCCAGCTGCCTGAATCTCTAATTGACGCAATCCAGACAGCAGTGTCTGCCTCCAACTTCCTGATCTCCAGCTCCCTCCTGAGCTGAAAATCCCTATCTCGCTCCTCCCTCTCACACTGGAGACGAGCCATACGCACTTTTACCTTAACATCTAATTTAGACCCCGTAGGTGAGGATCCTTCCGAAAACGAGTCGAATTGAGGTATGGTGAAAATTCTTGCCTGTTCTGTAGCACCCTTAACACCAAGAGTAACACCAACGCGGCCTCCATCATAAGACTCTGCTGCTACAGCCCCGGCCACCGTGCCAGGAGATTCCACCAAAGTAGGCAGACTCAAAACCCCCTGTTCAACTAGTCCAGTTAGCACAGTAGCCTTGAGTTCATTTTTTAACAAGAGCAGTGGAGACAGAAATGTGATAATGTTCAGCAACTAACCGCAAATCAACCTTCCTACACAAGTCTAGTTGACCCACCGTAGGACTGGCCACAAACTGCTCCAAAACAAAAGCCATCCTTATCAACGGCTACTTTTTTAAATTTTTTCTTAACAAACTTCCCCAGATCCTGCCTACCAAACTCACCTAACTATCTTCTGGAGCGTGCCGGGCTCGAGGTGATTTTAAAGGCAAACATCAGCGGCCGAAACCCTGAATCACCTGCCCCCAACAGGGAATAAATCCCCACCCAGGATTACCCCGAAAATAAAAAAGGCAAAATAATAAATGAGTGCCTGAAGGAAGGACTGATTCAGTCCAGCTAGACACTCCCCTCTCTAAACTGAGGAAGCTGTTCAACAGTAAATAATTCAGCCAATGCTACACTTATATACAGTACACCACTACTACCACCAAAGACAATCATCAACACCACCCAACAAACAAATACTCACTCCTTGTCTCAAAGAATGGACGAGCGCCCATTTGTTACGTTCCCTTTTAGATCCAGGGGCACAAAGGGAAGTAACAGCACGAAAAAATAACCAGCCGAGAGAAAAAGGAGAGGAAACTGATCTCCGAAGCCATTAAGCCTATTAACAAAAAGAAAAAGGGCTCACCAGCCAACTTGCAAAACAAATCTAGATACAAAAATATATACTGGAGACATGGACACCACGCTGCACACATCCAGCCAGGGGAGAAGGGGAGAGGGACTGCAACGTTCCTCATGTCCTATATGGAGGCCCTGATTGGAGATTGGGAGCACCTGGGGAGAGGCTGCACCTGAGGACAATCAGGCTGCACCTGGGGAAATCAGAGGGAGAGAGTGAAAAACACACACACACACCCACACAAACACCACGGCACGTAACAAGCATGATCACAGGAGACACTCAAAATGTCTAAAAATGTATAAATTAAAACAAGACATATGCAAGCCCACTTATTTTCTAGCAGTAGAATGGGAATCATCACGAGACTGAATCTGGCGCTGTGAAATTCAAGATTCATCTGGCAGCAAAGCTATTTCCTTCTACAACATAAATGTCTTTAGTCTAAAATGAGAAGTCGCTCATTACTCTTTCATCGAAAAGAGGTACTTGCCTTTAACCAGCATGTTGCGCAGTCTGCTATTTTCCTTCTGCAAAGTCTTGACCTGGCTCTGGAGTTCTCCGATTTGGGTTTTTTCATTACTTGAAGATTCTCCTGGACTCCGGGTTCCTTGGGCAAGTTGATTTTCTTCCGTAATGATTTATTTCTCAGTCCGTCTCTGAGCTGCAAGTGTGGGCTTTTTCTATAAGGGGAAAAAGTAGATTTTCAGGGTATTACACTATTATTATCATTTTAAATAATGTCCTATTATTATAAACAATTAACATACAGTATATTTTAGCTATTTTTTGTTGTGATGTCTGTTTGCTTCCCTTGTCGCAAATTCTGATCGCTCAGTGATGATACCAATGCCCATAGAATCTGAGGAATCTCAGCTTTAATCGATATCTTGTATGTGCAGTTACGATATGTAATAAGGGTATTTATACCTGTGCTAAGTGCGTTAGCATTTTTTTGCTCAGGGCTAATTTAAATGCTTCTTGTGAGACTTGTGCTTTGTTGGTGTGGTTCATTTCTTCAGTTAGCTGAGTTTCTAACCGTTAAGTGAGTATGACACTTTAATAGGTTTTTAAATATTAAGAAGCCCTGAGACGCAGTTTGGTGAAAAAACGACCCGCCAGGGCCGGATTAGGGTCCTCTCGGGCTTAACAGGTTAACAAACAATGCACCACGGCACTCTGGAGAAAAGTATAAGGTTAGAGAAGTAGTTATTTAATTTAATCTGGATTTGTATGATTAAAAACTAACCGACGCAGTCCTCTATTGATGTTGTTGTGAGCGGTTTTTCTAAGAAAAGCAGAGACGTAAAACGCTGTGTTGTCATAAGAAGGCACGTAAACGGTTACGTCATGACGCAAACGATGACGCAATAATTCACCTTTGAATCTGCATCTGTAACAATGAGTGGACCAAATAAATGAAAAGTCAACCGAGTGCCGAGTGTGTTTAATGAGGAGTGGATTTTTCACCGATCTGCTACTGGCCCGGCCGTCAAATGTAAAACTCATAGCGGCCCCCGAGCAAAACGTTTGCCCACCCCTGGTCTACACACACACCAGGGTTCATACACTTTTTCACCAATGATTTTCCATGACTTCTCCAGGACCTTCACCTAACTTTCCATGACCAAAAACATTACTCTTTCTCAGCAGTACCACTGAAAATAGTTTATTTTAACATGGAACAGGAAAATAAGGTCTGCATATGAAACATGTGGTGCCTAAAACAAATCAAATAGTAGGCTTACTAGCTTCTACAGGCTGAAGCAACTAAAATCTCTCACCAGCAAAACACCTTGACAGTTAAATGCCGTTTTACGTTTCATTACGATACAGTATTTATTATCATTATAGTATTACTATTTCGGCGATTAGATAAAATATAAATTGTATTTGATGCAACTTTAGTTACATTTCCATGACTTTTCCAAAACTTTGGGAAAAATATTGTTTTCCAAAACTTTTCCAGGGCCTGGAATTAGCATTTTGAATTTCCATGACTTCTCCAGGTTTTTAATGACCGTAAGAACCCTGACACACACACCTCACTGTACACACACACACAAACCTTTTTCGGAATTTCACAGTCTCCGTCTCCACTGGGAATTATACCCTGCTCTTCATCATCATCACCGAACAGGCATTTGGGTTTCCTGGATCTCTCGTGGTCTTTTGGCGTGTCCGCTTTAAAAAGTTCCTGCTCTGTAGTTTTCAGTGTAGACTCTTTTTCTACATTAATATAGGAAACAAAAATAGCCAAACATCAATGCCATTACTGTGAAAGAATATGAAATATGAAAGACTCTTCCCTCTGTGAGGAGCAGCAGGTTCAGCTTCATTTAAATATGTCGTGCAGTAATAGATGGATTTATTTTTCATCTCAAGAGAGAATGTATATTTTATGTTAGTATTTCAAAAATCTCCTGGGGGAGAATCCCCCCCAGACCCCCTGCGGGGTCGCCCTTTTTATTTACTACAAGACAAATGTGCCTTTTTATTTCATACAGTTCAATTTGGATTGAGACAGGGAAATAATCTAAACCTCACGCGTGGCGTTTCACTGTCAAGGGGGCGATATAGCGTGTATGTAATTACATTTCAAATGCTGATTTGAGCCCCACCACTGTATGGGTTAGCCCTACCATAGATTACCCAACACAAATACTCGGGAGCCGATGAGTCAATTAATTGCTTATCGCGACAGGCACACAATACAACAGTGGAAACAAACATGTGTTTGACTTTCATTAGTGAATGAAACTGTGTGCCCTTTATAGTCTGTGTCCGATATTGTGTATTTGTATATATATTATATATATATATATCCTGAATATAAGCTAAGGTCCCGCTACTGACACGATAGCAGTCATTTTGTGCGCATGTGTGTAATTAAACCCATGATATCAAAATCTCACTCTAGCCAGGTACCCAAAGTTGGCAACCCTGCCCATATCCCAATAATATTTTTATTGCAGATCTACATGAATCACACAAACGATACACATATCATCAATCATACACCGTTTGAACAAACACAATACACGCAGACGCACATACTGACAATGGCGACCTATTGCACAACCCTCATGGCCAACATTTAAAAAAAGTACATTTCATTACATTTGACTTCGACTACATTTCATTTCCTGTCAATGTTAAGAAGTTTAACCGACATTGGTAGGAATGAGTGCTTATAGCGGTTCAGCCTGCTCTTGGGAACCCTGAATCTTCTACCAGAAGGTAGGAGCTGGAATTCTGGGTGGAGTATGTGGGTGGGATCAGACACTATTTTGTTTGCCTGTCTGATAATGGACTGCTCATATATGTTTTGGAGAGATGGGTGTTTTTTAACCCTGGTAGAGATTTAAAGGGATATCTGATCCGCTTTTCAAATCTCCGCGCGTTCCTATGAAGCTGGTTATAATACAGGAAGGAATCCATATCTACAAAGTAACCTTTAACAATAATCTACTTTAATGGCAATATGACAATGCAATACAATCATTACAATACAACATGATATATTACAGTTATATTGTAATGCTTAAGGAGTAATACCGGCTTACTCCTGCACTCGTTCGCATACTGCAGAGCTACTTTCACCCGAGGGCAGCATGTGAAGAAGAGGCCGAACGCCAGGGATCCTCCGGATATATACCAGAGTAAGAAGGAGGGGTTTGGTGTTAGGTCAGCTGGTCATCTTTTCAGGTCATCTCATTGGGAGACGCAACGCTGGCCAGCAGGAAACCAAACAGGCTCACCTTACAACCAAAGGTCTCAAGGCCTGCATACCTACACCTCCCCCACAGAGCAATAAAACCCTGTTTACTCCAACCAGCCCAGAATGTTTATAGCCATTTGTAGTCCTTACATTTATGAAAGGATAAAACAGAGAAATCAATATAAAACACAAACACAGGTATTATTTGAACAGTATTCACTTAACTGCTACTATTGATAACCACCAGAGAAACCCAAGGGACCTCTCTTAATATTACAACCACTGTAGCTTGTTCTAAGTTGAATGCAAATCAGGACATGCTCTCACCTTCCCCCATCTTCCTTTG